GTGTGTTGTCGCGGACGGAGATTACGTGAAACTGCTGAACAAATCAAAATTCTATTCCATGTCTTTGCCTTCAGATGATGAGATGGACATGAGATGGGTGAAGAGGGGGTAAGGATGCTTCACAAACCCGCAAATAAGGACACTAAGTCATTATCGCATGATGGCACCATGTGTGTAATGATTGTGTGTGTGTGTGTCTGTGTGTGGAGGGGGAACGTAAATGCGAGTTAGTGAAACTGACACTAAAATTACCTGAAAATCAATCAATCAATTAATCAAAGGTTGCAAAGGATGACTACTAACCAGTTCCGGACATAAAAGACTTAAAACCAATTAGAGGATGTCGAATATTCGGAGATGATTCCGATTAGATGCCCAACTTGTGCAATATTGTCGCATAGATTAGAATTCAGATCCTGGTCCCCTTTGCTGTGCAGAACACATGAGCTAACCACCAAAATGCGATTATTGATGCCAACCCTAATGATGAAATATTTTCTTGGAAATCATTCTAATCAATCTATCAGCTGATTTACGCAGTTCAGAATCAATTATCGGACAACCAGCTGATGTCCAGCACTACAGGTGAAATATGCTTCTGCTCACATTGAAAGGAAGTGTTTCTTGGGGAGGACATCGATTTCCGTTGCGCCAACGATAGATTGCTTGCACAATATTCGATCCGTTCAACAAACGAAGAGCCCGAACCAATTCCCAATTCGTACGCAACGGAAATTCCTGACCGGTCAGATTGATCCAATATTTCCAAGCACCGGGTGCACGCTCCAACAGGATACGCGCGCAGCTCAAATCCGCGTCCAGTACACTGATCCAACCCCAGTGGACATCCGTTCGATTAGCCGACTCAACAAAGAACACATTGTGCGACACTCCGGGACATTGTTTTAGCCGTTCAGTAACGTTCACGAATTCCGGTTTGCTTTTCCGATCGATGTGAATACAATAGTAATTGTGTGGACGGTAGATAGCACGAAACAGCCGGAGCACCCGGTCAGCATCGGTATAAACGATCAAACTGAATGCGAGCGGGAATTCTCTTTCCTCCGGTCGAACAATGTATTTGTATGATACGGTAGAGTTCAGGGTTAACAAGGGACATTCAGTATGTTGCATGTTATTTGTGAATGTCAAATCCTCCCACATATCAAACATCTTTTCTATGATGCAATACAGTAGAACAAACAGAATTGCGCCTGAACAGAGAAAAATGAATTTTCCCTGTATTTTTGATGATTTGGAAGCTGTCGTGCACGTCAGTCGGTCGGGAGACATAATTGTGCTTGTGACCAACAGACCAGATTTACTCTGGTTGCGAATAAACATGTGTTAGTCTGTTTATAATTGGATAGAGACTACCATTGTGTGTTCTACCAATGACAACTGGCTAGGCAGGCTGATAATTGACGTACCATTCGAAACATTGTAGCTCTTTGCGTTAACGTGCACTAACTACTCATGCTTCGAGCAGACGTTTACCATACACACGTGACTTGGTCGGTACATTCTATCAAATAACGTTCAACTGCTTATTAGATATATGATCTAGCTGATAATCAGATTACATAATGTGGTTAAAAAAAGTGTACTGTCTCATGTAATCGATTATTTTCTCGTGAGGCAAATAAAAGAAGCTCGGATGTTCGCATTATAAAGCGAGTTGAGCACGTAGTGGTAGAATCCACATTTTGGTTGAATGATCAGCTTGCCGCAGTATTTGCTCGTCATGATTGGGAATAACATATGTTTTTAAGAAACAGGGTGAATAAATACTCGTTGGAAATTGTAAACGATGGATTGTCAAAGCCAACTGCCACAGCTGAACAACCTAGTGGGGATTTCAGCGAACAAGCTCGTTTGCGACAATTTCTTCTTCGGGAAAATACAGTTATACAATCGATTTTAAAATTGAAATTTGTGCTTCACTATCTACATGTGTTCCGTCTTTTATGTTTGTTTTCGATATGTGATCGGGAAAGGGATGAGTAAGGAGGATGTGTCATTAGGTGTTTGTGTCGCGGGGTCATTGGAAAGGTCACATCTATCTCGGGGATGTATCATATTGTGGCCAAGGTAGTCTGAGTGATTGTACGAAGCGCTTTTGAGAACAAAGCGATGGGTTTAATAGTCAAATGGCCACGGCTTCGATGAGATGATGTTGACGAACGGCCTTTGAAGGGTTCGGTGGCACTCTGTAGATGGTTTGAAATGCATCGTCGTCAACTTGATGCTCGGTATCCGCTACGATTGTACTTGAAATCGTTTTCCTTGTGTCTGAACGTAGCCAAACCAGCTTGTGTTCCTTGATTCTTTGGGACAAATGTCTGATCATTCTGCCTAAATATCTTACCAAGCATAAGCAAAAAAAGAATATGTGATCATGGACGAGGTATGGGACAGACAATTTATCCTTAAGGTTCACGAACATCACCGGTCAGCTCACGAAATGAATGCGTTTTAAGGCGGCAGGAAATGTTTGGGAGATTAATTTATCTAATCGTCGTGTCACTAGTTCACTATTATAATCTCATTTGAATGGGAGTCTTTGATATATAGTTCTTTCCTCGCTATTATTATTTGCTCTCTTTGAGGTTCCCCCGATAAATTATTTTCAATAAAACGCTCCAGTAAAATTCTCTGGAGGTTCTCTAAGTCTTGGTCAAGACTGTCGTGCGAGAAAATTCTTCTTGCGCGTTTTGCGAGGCATTGAAGCAAATTCCTCTTAAGCCTAATGGACACGAAACTTGAAAAGTGAAGATATTAATCGGCTTATGTTGGTTTTCGATAAACCGATGGCCTCAAACTGCCGTCGTGAAGTCTTATTAGGTTTACATCGAGGAAATGAAATGCGCCCTACATTTGTGTGAAATTGATGGCATTAAAAGCTTTGTTGAAAATTTCTGTCAAAGTTTCCAGTGATATTTGTTATCCATCAGGACAAAAACATCGTTTTCATATTGATAGTATATTGGCTTGGAGGCAATCGTGTCACAGAGCTCATGATTTTCGAGTTTTGCGACGAATATATCAGCCAGGAAAGGTCCAAGTGACGAAGCCATAGCAACTCCATCATTTTGTCTATATATATACATACATACATACATACATATATCTCCGTCGAATTGGACATCAAATGTGCACCGTAATAACAACTATTTTAGGTTGGTTACGAGGATGCCAATGTTGATATATTCATTCATTGATATTCATTTTGATGTAGTCGCTTAACTAATCAATACATTCTGGTACAGGAAAATTTGTAAACAGTGACGTTACGTCTAGAGGGCCCATCATCAAATCGTTTGTGTTCTTTACTTTTACAAGTTCCAGATGTTCAGTGGTATCATTCAGGCTGTAACGAGGAATATTTTTACGAGCATGTTCTAGTTATTCTGCTAGCCATTGGTCGACGTGGTGGTATGGGGACTCACTCATATGCGGTATTGATCCCAGTGGGATGCCCGAATTACACATTTTGGGTAGACTATGCATTAGAAGATCAGCTTGACACACCAATTTAATAAATTCCCATCGGAAATTGTAAATGAAGGAATTTAAAAAGAACAGCAACATTTGAGCAAATGAGACCAATTGAAATGATTACTTCAAGGCTCGCTGACTTACCACAGATGAATCAGTATGGTGTGCTTCTGAAACGAATCCCAGACATATCTAACTCTACTGAACAGGCAGTGTCTGGGTAGCTGAGAGCGATTTTTGAACTCGCTAGATCATGTCTTGTCAATCACAAATTAAAGGACTTCTATAACCTCGTGGCTAGAATTCAAATCCCGAACGTACACTTGATACCCCTGTTTGACGCCACTTCCCTCTTCACAAACCTTCCCATCGCTGAAAACGTTTTATGCACGTGTTACCACATTATTTTGAAATTAGAATAGCCACTACCGATCTCAAACAGTTGCTGTTTTTTTACATACACCACATACATTTCAAATTCAATGACGGAACTCATCTCCAAATAGATTAGGTGGTCAGTGGGTCCTCCATAGACTCGTTTTACTCACAATCCTCTCCCAAAACGGACCACGAATCGTTTCACATTTGAAAAACAATGTTTTTAGCATATTCTGTTCTCCGGGGATGAAAGTATCGATCTCTGGGGACTCCGGAAACCTTTCGGTCGATGGAGCCAAATTCTGTGCCCGCTTCCGAGAACCAAGTAAATGAAGAAGTGGTCTTCCCGGACGTACGGTTTGAATGAGGATCAAACTGAAATCGTGAACGCATCAAACTCAAAACTCACCGTAAAACACCTGTGTCCACTTCAAATGATTCATGCTACAGAAAAGAGAATGATCAGCAATCCATAGCCCGGTTACCAGGGAACGAAAAATATGAGCAGGCGATACCATTGGAGGTAAACTGGGGTACAGGTGAGAACCTGTCGTGTACAATATTTTGAGATAGCATATATCACTAAACAAGGTCACACGTGTTGAGGAGGAAACGATTTCAAGGGTGAAACAGCTACAAGTTCTGTACAATTTCCAAGTCAGTGTTAGATTTATACATCACCGGATAGGTTAGTTTTCCGCATTTTAGACCATATTTTTATGTGAAATTCACAGAATCATACGTACCGAAATTGAAAGCATCACATTTTGTCTTTGTCATTGAAGAAAGTAATTACGTGAATAGTTAGGACAAAACAGAATTACAATCAGAAGAGGTAGGTGCAAATTAAAGTTTGAACGTTGAGCGTGTGGATCATGTCAATTTCGAGGCAAGTATTTGAGAGTAATGCAGCTATCAAATTTACACATACTGGTAGAGGTCTGCCTAGAATAACGTCTAGACTTCTATGGCCAGTGATGCCACTGCATTTAGAGATGCGTTTCACCTATCTCGCAAGTAAATAAAACTCTTTTTCAATATACCGAGAAAATCACTGAGGAACAGTGGAGAGCAGTCATGCATTCACAAACCTTATAATCAATTTGTGGGGAACAGAAAGTAGTCGTAATCACAGTGAGAAATCTGAAAACTTGAGCACCGCAAAATATGTGTTCTGAACATGCGAAGATCATGATAAGTTCTGTGATAGTGTGAGGTCAAGGTATTCTACCATTATTTATCGGTGTGGGTTCATGATTGTTGGAAAGTATGGAAAACCTTTTAGTGGTAGTTGAATATGGTTCGTCGATCAACAGGGAAAACACAAGATCCTGACATTTTCTCATTTTTCATTTTTACTTCCTTTTATTGAATATGCAAGGGTACAATTTTTTCAGGTGGGGGGAAGCGGTCAATCAAAGGGCTGCCATTCAACACACAATGGGGAAAGTTAGGCAGTGATGGTGGGATTCGAGCACACATACCCGGGGTGGTAATTTGGTGACGTTACCACCGGGCCACCACCGCCCATTCAATGGGAGGGACCAGGACAAGGACCAACTAACAACATCTTTTAGCTTGCTTTGAATTTCGGAACCCTCTTCAAGGCATTTCCAGCCACTGAATGTGTAACGAATGGGAAATTGTTTGATATACAATGAAGGGAAAACAGGAAAAAACTGCATCTTGTGGAACACCAGAATCAACTTAGCAAATGGAAGATTTCTTGCCATTTAGGCACTGAAAATTCCTTCTCTCCATAAAATAATCACAAAATGTTCTGTATTTATCAATTTTAGTTTGTCTGAAAAACCACTTACATTGGTCGTACCACCCACCGCTTGACCGAACGCATTCGAGAACACCACCTCAGCTTGCTTAATTGCCGATTGACGAGAACCGGGGAGACTTCAACCGCGGCTCATTTGATCAAAAGCGAATATCTTGTCAGAATGAGTGAAGCGGCCAGGCACATCTACACCGTCACCGGGGGTGAGATCAAAGCAGGTCAAGCATCGCTTACCGTCAACAACAGCCGAAGCGATCGCGATTCGGTTGGACAAATCCTTCACCGTCCCACTCACGCTCTGTGCTTTGAAAAACAGTTAATCAGAGCTCTAAATTTACTACGGCCAGTCATAAACGCTAGAGTGACATAACGCCTGTTGTCAAATGAGTGTCAAAGCGTTTATGTATTTGATTCATTCGACAGTATAAATGACATTTATAGAGATTAATTTGAGCTCGCATACACCCCC